TGGTTAGCTTCTACTAGCCGAGGAGTTCTCTGCTGTTTCCCGGATGCTAAACCAGCCTTCCCCGTTGCAAGTCAAGATGGCTAAGTCCATGAATGTTACAGTAAGTGACAGTGTGACTTAGTAGCCTGGCCTGCCAGACTCGTCCTCTGTTTAATTCTGCAAAGAGAAAGAGTCTGGTAACTCACAGGCAGAGAGGCACATGAGGGGCGGGACTAGGCAGCTCAAAAATAACCAATCAGAAAAAAGATGGAAATGCCGACTGTACCACGCAACGCTGTAGTTTTTTAGCTATAGTTAAAATAAAAAGGCGTCTGGCAACAGTGTAAACATCTTTTATTTTTATAGAAGAAAGGCTTTTAGCGCTTCTACTTGTTGTGGTTTCAAAGACATTCACGTCATTTAGAACAGAGGAAAGAGCCACAGAGAACTCTGCCGCTGTCTTCGTTGTTTATGAGAAACTGAGCGGCGCTGTAGTTTTTTAGCTGTAGTCAAAAATGGCGTCTGGCGACAGTGCAACCATCTTTCTTTAGAAGAATGACTTTTAGCGCTTCTACTTGTTGTAGTTTTAAAGATTTGTCCAAGTCATTTAGAACAGAGGAAAGAGCCGCAGCAAACTCCGCTTCAGTCGCCATGTTCGACAAACTCGGCGTCATGGTGTGTGACGTATGCTGCTCAGCGCTGATTGGCTCAGTTAGAATTCTCACGGGGTGGGGTTATTTGAATAGGAGAGTTCCCAGACCCTTTCTCTGTGCAGAATTAAACAGAGGAGGAGTCTGGCAGGCCAGGCTAATGACTTAGCAGGCTGCAGGCTTTTCAAATCAGCACTTTGGTTGGTTGTAATGCCATGTTGAAAGCGCTTTTATAAATAAAATGGTATGGTATGGTATGGTGTGGTATGGTATGGTGTAAACATGGTAAAATAAATGGCCTGTATTTGATATAGCGCCTTCTAGAGTCCTGGAACCCCCCAAGGCGCTATACAACACAATCAGTCATTCACCCATTCACACACACATACAGACGCTGGTGGGGATGAGCTACGATGTAGCAACAGCTGCCTTGGGGTGCACTGACAGAGGCGAGGCTGCCGAGCACTGGCGCCACCGGTCCCTCCGACCACCACCAGCAGGCAAAGTGGGTTAAGTGTCTTGCCCAAGGACACAACGACAGCGACAGACTGAGCAGGGCTCAAACCTGCAACCTTCCGATTACGGGGCGAGCACTTAACTCCTGTGCCACCGTCGCCCCGATGGTGTGGTGTGGTATAGTGTGGTGTGGTATGGTAAATCATTGTCTAATTTCTATCAGAAGCTAATGCAGGAGATAGGTGTAGGAAACTATTTTCATGTTCAGCCTGCATTAAAAACTGACTGAGTGACTGATTACAGTATACTCAGAGATAAGATTTTTTTTAATCGTTTTTCAGTAAACCACATCTTTAAAACCAGCAACTTCAAGTCTTCCCCAAGCATGCAGATGAAAAAATTGTGTTTTTGTTAACCATATAATGACTACAGTAAGTATTCATGAATTTGTTTTATTTATTTATTTATTTCATTTTTGTCTTGTCTGTTAATATGGAGAAAAATTTATACCATACCATACCACTTTATTTATATAGCGCTTTCAACACGGCATTACAACCATACAAAGTGCTGCACAAAAAACAAGCAAGAAAACACAAGTTAAAATAGTCAGGTAGATAGAAAATGTAAAAAGGAGCAAAGAAATAAAACAACAGACTATTAACAGTAAAAGCAAATAAAACCAGAATATAAAAACACAAAATTAAAATTGAATTGTCTAGGAGGGACAATGGATGAGCTAAGGAGTTATGGAATTAGGGATCGAATGCGTAAGTGAAGTAGAGGGTCTTCAGACGAGATTTAAAGACGCCGATAGAGGAAGCTTGCCTAACCTGCAGTGGTAATGAGTTCCATAACTTTAAGGCACAGACTGAAAAAGCCCTTTCCCCACGAGTCTTCAAACGTGCCTTAGGGACAGTTAAGAGGAGTTGATCTTCAGACCTAAGAGCTCGAGGAGGGTGGTAGTAATGAAGGAGATCACACAGATAGGGAGGAGCTTGACCGTTTAAGGATTTGAACGTGAGAAGTAAAATTTTATAATTGATCCTGAATTTAACGGGCAACCAGTGAAGCGTTTTAAGAATAGGTGAGATGTGGTGTCTTCTTTCTAAACAATAGCTAGCCACCAGGCATGCATCAATTTCCTTCAACTTCTGCTTATGTATGTCTAATTCTTTATATGTAGAAGGCCAAAATGCATTGAAATATTGTTGTAGTGTACTACGTGACTTTGTTGCAGTAATAATGGTATTTCAACCAATTTACGTCCATTTTTTATGGGGCGGCATTTTTCTCCATATCTATCTTATTCATAAAGCACCTCGGCTTAAAGGAGACATATAATGACTTTTTAGTAAGTAATTTTGTTGTTTGTTTTTTTTTAGTTAAAATAGTTTTATGGTAAACACGAAACATCTTTATGATGTTCTTTGCTCTCACATAAAATTATTTCAGCAGTTTAATTCTGGACATTTTCATATGAGCTGTTTCAAGGCTCTGTCACTTTTAGAATACAAGCTGTCGCTGGTCACGCCCACTCCTTCCCCACTCAGGCTGCTATAAGCTGAGAAGCTCTGATATCCAGGATCAGAACAAAGCAGCTGCTCCTCCAGAAGCAGTTGCTCTCCAGGTGAAAGGTGATTCAATGCTAATTTGTAATTTGTGACATCACAAACTGAGACTTTATGAAACTGCTTATTTTAGGCACATAATTCCTAAACCAAACACTGATGGCAAAAGTATGGATGGATTTTGTCATATTTGGAGTGTTTTTAGAGGTGGTAGAGACCCACATGGTAGCAAAACAAGAAAACACAAACACTGATGCTTCAGTGTTGGACAGTTATAGGCCCATCTCCACCCTCCCCTTCACCTCTAAAATTTTGGAGAAGACTGTTTACCAGCAGCTGGTGTCTCACTTATCTGACTCTGATTTTTTTTTAGGTTTTCCAGTCTGGGTTTAAGCCTGGACACAGCACTGAACCGGCCCTGCTTAGGGTCTTGAATGACAATTATATATATTTGGATCAGGGTTTCTCTGTGGCACTTCTTTTATTGGACCTTATGGCAGCGTTTGACACAGTGGACAATGATACACTGCTTGATCACCTGGAACTATGTGTGGGAATCACTGGGTCTGGTCTTGAATGGTTTTGCTCATATCTATATGGTAGAAGGTTCTGTGTGTAATTGGGGGAAGCTCTCTCTTCCTGGGAGGCTCTGTGCTGGGGGGTTCAGCACTGCTTTTTACAATGAATTTGTTGCCGTTGGGATCCATCTTTCATAGACATGGTGTTAAGTTCCACGAACATGATGATGACTGTCAGATCTATTCTCCACTGTCTCTGGGGAACGGAGTATCTTTTTTGACCCTTGAGACCTGTGTAAGTTAATGAACGTAAAACAGAATTTATCATGTTTCACCCAAGTTGCAGATCAGATTTAGGTTCTACTGTCGATTTGTGCACCTTCTCAACCCTCCAGAAGCCGGTTGTCACTAGCATTGGGCTAAGACTTGACTCTGCTCTTAGCTTGGACTCTCATGTCAACTCAGTGGTTCGGTCATGCCTTTTTCAGTTATGTTGCTTTACTAAACTCAAGCCTATTCTTTCCAGAACTTACTTGGGAGTGTGCACTCCATACGTTTGTGATCTCTAGGCTTGACTATTGTCCCTATATGCTAGGTTGGGTCAGACTATTGTACATTGCCTGCAATTAGTTCAGAACAGTGCAGCTAGGTTTTTGACTGGAACTAGGAAAAGAGACCACATTTCTCCAGTGCTGGCCTCTCTTCACTGGCTACCAGTGTCCTACCGGGCACAGTTTAAAATTCTGCCTTTTGTGTTTCAGTTTTTCCAAGGCAGTGCCCCCACTTACTTAGCTGAGCTCTTAATAAAGCATGTTCCCTCAAGGTCATTACGGTCAGCTGACCAGAAATTGGTTATTGTCCTCCGCACCCGATTTAAGACTCATGGTGATCGGGCTTTTCAAGTCCTTGCACCCTCTCTCTGGAACCAGCTCATAATCAAACAGCCCCCATCACTGGCAGTCTAGAGTAGGTTGAAGACTAATTTTTATAGGATGGCCTTTTCCTAATGCTTTTGGTTTCTGGTTTTTAATTTTTTTGTTTTTAGCTTTCTGTTAACTGCTTAATTAAAATTTTCTTTTATCTAAATTTGATCTCATTTGCTTGTTATTGTTCTCACAAATGTCTATGTTATTATTTTATTTTTAATGTTTTTATGACTTGCTACTTTTCTTGTCCAGTGCCTTGGGCCCCCTTTGAGGGTGGTGGAAAGTGCTATATAAATAAAGCTTGATTGATTGATTGATTGATTGATTGATTGGTTGGTTGGTTGGTTGATTGATTGATTGATTGATTGAATTTTGCATAATATGTCCCCTTTACATCCACACTGAACCCAGAAGACCCTTCTGCAGACTAGTCAGAATTTTGCTAATCTGTGGCAGCCATTTTGAATCAGCTGTCCCATTCAGTTTTTAATTTTTTCTATTAAACAAAAAGGGTTGACTCCAAAAGTAAGTGGTACAATTTTAAGAAAGTATGGTCTCCAATGTTTAATGTTTGGAGTATGTGTTGTATACTACTCTTAGCTAATTTGACTCCAAAGTTTAGCTTAATATCTGTAAAATTGCTCAAACTGTAAATATTTTTGTGTTTTCCAATTTAATTTAGTCTTTGTGATGATTTTGTATGTGGTTGACAGAAAGTTTATCAGTTTTAGATGAAAACTGAATGAGGTTTAATAAAATCTAACCAGTTTATCTGATGTTCTGCTAATAATGACAAAAGAGACCCTCCTTATGCATTACTGGAATAAGAAGTCACTTTACCCAGTAGGAGTAACATGATTGTTGTTAAGCTGAAGCCATCTCATGACTTTCATGACCCACCTTTGAAAATCAATCTTCTGCCCACCATTTTGGCAAACTCCAAACTGTTCAAGGAGAGGACGTTGTAGAGGACAATGGCCCAGAAGTTGGCAGCGTTGAACACACCCCTGATCCTGCGAGACATGGCCTCACCCATGGCATTCTAGAGTCAAAATCATACAGAAGTAGGTACTTCAGTTCTTGTCTGGTCACACACCTAAATTGGTGCTTCAAGGAGAGTATTTTTAAATACATCGTGTTTCTCACCTCCATGATGGAAAATGGTGGAAGGGAGAAGAACTTGGCCACCCAAAGCTCAAAGTTTAGGCCAAAGCAGTTGAAAAAAGACCAGATATAAACCAGTTCACATGGGCCCAGCCACAAGGTAGTGATTGCAAAAGTGGAGACTGTTGCCAGAAGTTCTTTAAAAATCTTATCATGATCCCCACCAATGTAGTCATAAACATACCTGCAAAATGTCAATGCAGATTCAACATAACTATCTTTACTAAGCTTCATCAGATTCTGCCATTCAAATCTAAACGCTTACTTGCACAGCCAGTCGTTGATGCCTCTGTCAAAGTGCCTGCAAAAAAACAAATTTTAGTTGTTTTATTTATTTCAAACACTAAATGTTCACCTGATTCCAAGGCTTAGCACTGATTTAACCCCCTCAGGCTCAAAATAAGTTTTGATAAAAGGACAAACAACTAAGTCCTTCGGGTATACTTCTGAGTTAAAAAATGCTCATGAAATACGTATGTGGAGTAACCAGGTAGGTAGGTTTTAACTGTTGCAAATCTGCAATGCCTGCCTCCAGAGGGTTAACGATGTTGCTCAGAGTGAGTCACACATACGTCTCAGCGAAAACATAGAGCATGGTGATACACTTGGGAGGCTGGGGGGGGTCCAAGTGGTCCAGAGTGGCCACGGTGTTGATGACACCAAACATTACAGCTGCTTTTACCCAGTCATACACCAGGTTGGAATAAGCTAGTCCAGCTGCAAGAAAAAAAAATAGATGAGGGGCATGAACAGATGTTGACAATCCAGGTGAAACTTGAAAAATTAGAATATTCAAAAGTTCATTAATGTAAGTAATTCTACTTAAAAAGTGAAACTAATGAGTTAGACTCATTACATGCAAAGCCACATATTTCAAGCCTTTATCTGTTATAATTGTGATAATTACAGCTTATGAAAACCCCACATTCAGAATCTCAAACAGAATATTGTGAAAAGGAACAATATTGTAGACTCAAGAGTACCACCCTAATCAGCTAATGAATCCAAAACACCTGCAAAGGGTTGCTGGGCCTTTAGATTGTCTCTCAGTCTGAGCTGAGTTCCTGAAATAAATTGACTTCTGCACCATATTCTCATGTTTCAAGTTTCACCTTCTGAAAAGAAAATTTCTACTAAAAACACTTTTATATATTATTTTAAGTCTGATTCAGTTCAATTATATTCAAAAACACTTTAATGGTTCCAGGGGGAAAATAAGTGTTGTAACTCATTCTTCAAAAACAACAATAAAATAATATCAACAATAATGATCTCATATCATTTCATAATCTTTGAATAGGGGTAATAGATGCTGGTGGCTGTGGACAGGAAGGGTCTCCCATAGCGGTCTGTATTACAGCAGGTCTGGAGAAGCCTTGATTTGATGTGATGATCGTCATAATAAATAAATTAAACTGATGCCAGGACCATAACTTAATACAGTTTAACATTGTGGTTTCATCATTAGTCTCTCAAGCATTTTATTTAATTGATTTCACTGAAAAGGTTTCAAGAAGCAGTTAAATGTTGTCCCTGAGTCTCTCTTTATCACTGAAAAAAAAACTGTTTAATGTAGAACCTAAATTGTTTATGAGCAGGGAACTAAGAGTCACAATCTGATGCATAAACCATTATAAGAAGGAGATACAGGGCACTCCTCTTTGTCCACTCACCCAGACACCAGTCAGAAAGCTTGGCCACCAGCTTCATGTCACTGGGTATAGTTAGGATGTAAAGGTAGTGGAAAAAAACGTCCACCACCAGAATCACCCCCAGATGCAACAAGGCCTTGGTGGTGATGTTCCACATCTCCCTCTCCTTTCGGGTCAGCTGAGTGTTGTTTGCCTGTCAAATGCAATACCATCACTCATGTGAATTAACCAACTAAAACTCAAATATTAACTGAATTAGTCAATGCACAAAAACTTCCTGAGCAACCTCAGTTTGGAAAATAGAGATCACGTTCTTCAAGACTGACGAGCTAACGGCTAGTCTAAGTGCAAACTGTCATCTGAAATGAGGAAGTTGGAGTATTTTATTTCAACGTTATTGATGCAGCCCAACATATGTACAATTTTACAACACACAGTTATTTAGATATTACATTGTGGTTATTTGCAGCAGCTAACTGTAGGACTTCCTTTGCATTTAGGTAACTGATATCATTGTTAAGGTTTGTAAAAAAAACTTCTGAGTTGCTGAAAGATGGAGGAGCTTGGAGCTGTTCTTTGAAGGCAGCATTTGAACCTGCTGTTAGGGAAGTGTTTCTCTGGGCTGCAACTGTTAGCAACAAATACCAAAGCACATTTGCAATCAAGTTTTCAAAACGTATCAAACTAGTTTGAGGGCCTCACTCTCGTGTTGCTGGGCTTAAGAAAATGTACATCTTTTAAATTAGCTGCATATGTTTGCCATCTATTGCACGAACTGGAATTACATGTAAAGCACTGGAAATATTTATGAAATACACAAAAGCAGTAAGATAACATACAAGGGTGTTAAAGGTGTGATTCCCTGAAAAAACGTTTTTTTTTTAAATTTTAAATTCTAACTATAATCAGTTTTTATGCAGGCTGAACATGAAAATAGTCTCCTACACCTATCTCCTGCATTAGCTTCTGATTGAACAGGGGTAGGGAACCCTGGTCCTTGAGAGCCACTATCCAGCACGTTTTGGAGGTCGCCCTTCTTCGACAAAGTTGAATCAACTGCTCATCAGGCTCTGCAGAAGCCTTTTAATCACCTGCTGATTAAAATCAGGTATTTTAAGACAGGGCAACCTCTAAAATGTGCTGGATAGTGGCTCTCCAGGACCAGGGTTCCCTACCCGTGTGATAGAAAATAGACTTTGAAACTCTAGGATTTTAAAATTCTGACAGATCTACGTCACACTGTCACTCAGGCCCTGTCCACACGTAGCCGGGGATCTGCCAAAACGTAGATATTTTCCTACGTTTTGGCCTGTCATCCACACGAAAACAGAGTTTTTTCACACGAAAACGGATCTTTTTAAAAACTCCGGCCAAAGTGAAGATATGCGTTTTCTCCGTTTTGGGTGTCTGCGTGTGGACAGACAAAACCGGAGTTTTAAGGTCCGCAACGTCACTTTCCGCGACAAAAAAATGCTGACATCACATGTGCGACCTGTGTTTACACTAGCCAACAGCATGGATGCCCTCAGAGCTGCGCTCGCTTTATCAATTGTCCAAGCGCTCTTTGCTTGTTTGTTTTTGCAAGCGGAATTACTGCTCCTTGTGGAAGACCACAGACGAAGGACGAGGTTAAGAATGAGGGAAGTACTGCCGCCTACAGGTCTGGCATGTCCTTAACAACGTATTTATCCAGGTACGTGTGGACAGAGGTTTTTTTAAAAACGAGGTGGTGTGGATGCAAGTTTTTGGAGGGGCGGATATTCGTTTTTTAAAAAACCCGGCTACGTGTGGACTAGGCCTTAGCATTCACCCCCATCTCCACTTACGGCAGGGAAGGCTGTTGTTTTTAACGCTCGGGAAACGGCAGACAACATCTAAAATAGCAGAAGCTAACCGTTAGCATTTGCAACTCCCAACACACAGCAGAACTCCTTCAGTCACGTTGCTGTTTGCCAATCAGAGGTGAGAGATCCAAATATCTGGAAATATGACTCCAATTCCTGCCATCTGAAGCTACTTTCTCCTCCAGCTGGCTTGTTCTTCTTGAAACGA